CTATTCTATTCTATTCTATTCTATTCTATTCTATTCTATTCTATTCTATTCTATTCTATTCTATTCTATTCTATTCTATTCTATTCTATTCTATTCTATTCTATTTTGAGCCAGGGTCTCTATATAGTTCTGGCTGTCCTGGAACTCCATAGTGATTTTCATCATAGCAAGGCCTATGTAGAGAGACCCTATCTCAAAAAAAAAAAAAATTCTTTACAGACACATTTAATTAGCTAGTAATCATGAATATGGGCATTTATATTAAATTGGTTAATATAAATGTGCTGAGTTGCTTGAATCACTTTATTTCTTTTCCATTTTTATTTTTGGTGTTTTGAGACAGAGTTTCTCCAAGGCCCTGCTGTACCGGAACTTCCTCTGTAGACCAGGCTGGCCTCCACCTCACAGAGAAATAAGCCTGAGTTTATTTCATTTATTTATTTCATTCCTGGCTTCTTCCCTCCCTCCCTCCCTCCCTCCCTCCCTCTCTCCTTCTTCCCTTCCCTCCCTCTCTCCCTCCTTCCTTTTCTTCCTTCCTTTCAACAATGTTTTGATTTAGGCTGGAGAGATGGCTCAGAGCTCAAGAGCACTGGCTATTCTTCCAAAGTTCCTGAGTTCAATTCCCAGAAACCACATGGTGGCTCATAACCACCTACAATGAGGTCTGGTGCCCTCTTCTGGCATGCAGGCAGAACACTTTATAAATAATAAATAAATAAATCTTTAAAAACATCAACAAAAAAACAAACAAAAAGCAAATGTTTTGACTCACTGCCATTTTTCTAAAGATAAAGGCGAACAGTTTAAGGCCAAGGTCACAACCACCATCTTAGGTAAATCAGCGGAATAGCACACTATTGGGCATGTTTCTTGTAGTACTGCTGGAGGCATGACATGACAGCACAGGAATCATACAAGATTAAGTCACTCACTTCTGGGGCCCTCCTACCTCTTTACAACCCAAGCACACACATAACCGGGGGCTTCACACAAAACGTGTTCTCAGAGTTTGCTAAGGAGGACTCTTAAAATTAGGTCAACTGTCACACTAATCCGAACAGCAGGCACGGGAAGGCCATCTTACTCAGCACTGTGGGGATCCATGATGGACGTCAGGGACCCCAGCCGCTCCTCCAAAGTGTTAATTCTGTATCTCATGTAGCAGGTTGAGATGATCAGTGCACAGACACTAGAGAGGGGTAACAAGACATTTCCAGTATGTTAATGGCCAGGAGCTGATTTTTAAAAAAACAATGAACTCAGAGCCATTTTTCCACTCTGGGGGCATTTTCATAAAGAACTAAAGGCTTTAGAGACTTTAACATGGTCTGAGTTGAGAGGCTGGAGAGATGGCTCAGTAATTGAGCATTGGCTGTTCTTCCAGAGGACCAGTGTTAGATTCCTGGGAGGCACAGGCTGGCTCACAGCCATCAGTAACTCCAGTTCCAGAGGATCTAAAAATGCCTTCTTTTGGCCTCCATGGCCACCAGGTATGCAAATGGTGTACACATATACAGCCAGGCAAAACCATCCAAATTAAAAGAGAGAGAGAGAGAGAGAGAGAGCACTTAAAAAAATAAAGAAAATAATTGATGTTTGTTATAAAACTTCACAGCAAGGAGACTTAAAATCCCGTCACCAGTTTCTCAAAGTGCAAAAACATGGCCATTCTTACAGGACTGTTCAGGGATAGACCCAAGCAGGATGCCTAAGCTGACGCTCCCATGCTTCCTTTGATCCAAGAGCTTAGGCAGACAGCAGCAAACCTTGTTCCTTGGAGACTTACAGATTCTCTGCTTTAATGGGGATTGGATGATCATCTCTAACTCCCTTGGGAATGAGAAACACCCTAACACTGAACTGGCTATTCTCAGAAAAGCCATTGGCTGTAGTCTGGAAGCTGATGAAACAGTCTGTGCCTGACTTGTAAAGATGGATGATGTCTTGACTTCTGCTCGGAAGAAGCTGAACAGACAGAAAAATAAATAGGCAAAACAAGGATGGATGCATCAGAAGTTACTGACTGTTGCTCAGAACTCGGTTCTTCGGCACATTCAGCACAATCATTATGAAAAGCCAACCTAAGCCTAAGAGCGTGGGGGAGGGAAAAAAAAGTACAAGAAGGAAATGGAAATTGCCAAGGAAAATATGTGGGTTGTGTCAGCACAGGTGGGATTTACAATGACCCTTGGCAAAGTGAAGAGATTATTCATCTGCAAAACCAGATAATTTGCATAAGCCTCTTACAGTAAACGTGTCTACTTACATGACTGCATAGAATATAAGAATATGGCGGAGAGTTGGGCATTTCTGAGACTTGACTTTATGCAGAATCCCATTAGTTTCTGATTGACCTGTTGAGTGGAAACCAAAACAGCAATAATTTAGCACTCCTGCATACTTCTTTCCTGTAGTAATATTTCAACCGAGACAGGTTCATTCTCAGGTGGAGGGGAAAATATTAGTGGAAGCGTCCCTGTTGATATTTTAACCAGTAGGTTCTTTTTTTCTTTTTCAAGTCATTTCATCTAATAATATATATTTGAGAGGCTTCTTTCCCCCAAGTATTGTATTGTGGCTACTGGAACAAAGTAAGACTATTATTATTATTGTTTCTGTTGTTGTTACAGCTAATACATAAGAAAGAAGTCAGTAACTTGAATTTTACCACTAATTTTCGGTTCATAATCTCAAAGTATGGAGAAGAGCATGGCAACTTCCATTTGTGACCCCAGCAAAGCCTAAAACCCATATTAATAAGTAAGTGGGATTTGTCACGCAAAGACTGACAACAGGAGGGGAGGGAAGAGCCATGAGAGGCAACCGCAGCGTGAAACACAGGGGTCTTTAGGAGTTACCAACAGGAACTGCTGACCCATCAGCTCCCCTGTCTCTCACCATGAGCAGGCAGGCTCTTGGCTTTTCCATCAGGCACTCTGTTCCCGTGAGCATCTGTCCGAGGTGGCTTTGTTTCTCCCTTGGTAACATTCAGAACTGTTTGAGATTCGGTCACATGGAAGTCTGTCAAGAAAACGAGGCAAGGTCAGTTTGCTTCGCAATGTATTTAAAACTCATAGGATGAGCTACAACGCAGATGACTCCTTCATCTGCATAACAGCCATGTTATGGTTCCCTCATGAGTGGGATGCCTGGAGACTGAAACCCAAAGTTCATCAAAGAACTAACATGATGCAAGGACTTTGGGTTCACACCCACAGACGCACGTGGTTAGCGACTCCTAATGTTAGTATTACTGAAATAGGTGAGGAACCTTATGGTGACCTCTCTTGGTCACCTCGTCACCCTATCATGCCAATGTAAGACAGTGGTTCTCAACCTTCCTAATGCTGCGACCCACTAAAACAGTTCTTCATGTCGCGGTGGCCCCCAACCATAAAATTATTTCATTCCTATTTAGCAACTGTAATTTTGCTGTGATTATGAATCTTAATGAAAATATAAGTGTTTTATGATGGTCTGAGGCGACCCCAAAGGGATCATGACCCACAAGTTGAGAACCACTGATATATGAGCCGTCTGTTAAATATGGATAAAGATGATGGATTTTTGCCATAGAGGCAATTTCCTTTCTTAAGGACCCCTTGCCCAGATTTCCTTTGCAACTGGTAACTGGGAAGAGAAGGGTGAGGCTTGTTTTTTGTTTTGAAGAGGGTGAGGGGAGGGTGTTTTATAGGGCATAAAACTTGACTTCAGACCTCGGGAGTTCTCAGATTCTGGCGTCTGAGAGCCTGAGCTGCTGTATCCTTCCATGTCTTGCCTTCGGTGTTGAACCACTCCGTCCAGGTCTGAGAATTCATCATTGAAATCCTGAAGGGAGACAGCGAGATGAAGAGGCAGGCAGGCTGTTACAGACGCTAGCCTTTTTGCTTAGGGCTGACCCACAAAATATGGACATGAAGCAGGGGTGACTCCACACTACATGTTTTTCCTAACCTGGGAGTATCTGGTTACGAACACTGAGATTCTTCTGCACGGTCAGAATTCTATTAACAAACGGCACACAGCTTGTTTGGAACAAACATCTAGAGAAAGCACTGGACAGCTTGTGACAGAGCAATTGCTAGCATGGGGCTGAGGACTGTCAGCGGCGCTGTGCCCTGGAGAATCTGACTGTAGCAGACAGCACAAAAGAAGGATGGACAGGCAGCTCAAATCTAAGCTCAAATATGTAGAAAAAAGTATTGAAAATTAAAATTAAAAAAAAGACATCGGACAAAGGAAATGAAAAAGAAAAGAACCACTGCTGGAAAAATCATATGGAGAAAAGAAAGCTGCAGCTTTTTAAATTAGCTCCGACCAGAGTTGGCCACGGTACAGAGGCTGGGGAGCCGGCAGGGGTAAAGGACGTGAGCAGAGATGTTCTAAGTTGTACTCTGCTGGCGTCCCTGAAGTGTTTAAGACCTAAGGAGGGAGACACACGGTGTTCCCAGCTGGCTCTGGCAAAGGCAGAATTAGCCTGAGCTCTTAACAATTAGCTGCCAACCACGGAAGGACTCATCTGGTAAGCAAATGAGCACCTTTCTTGCTTGAGTTTGCTGTCTCTGGGTCATCTCAGCATTCATTCCATTCCTTACAATGATTTATAGGGCAAAGAAAGCTGAAAACTTGATTGACTGGTTTGCATTTATCTCATTTTTTGAGACACGATCTCTGTGTTTCTCAGGCTGGTCCCAAAGTCTCAGTGTAACTGAGGATGACCTTTAATCTTGTGTGCCCCCATGCCCGTTTAGTTTGGTATTGGGGATGGGACCTAGGCTTTGTGCGTACTAGGCCAGCCCTCTACCAACTGAGCTACATCCCAGTCTGAAAAGTGGAAAACTTCAGTGTCTTCCACTTGATGATGATTTGCAGGGCGCTTATCGTGTATGGGGCAGTGTGGCGGAAATCACCTCACACACAGGAATGCATTGACTCTCCCAGCCACGTAGTGAGGCTAGCATTTCAGTGTATCTCACACTGCCCTGCCCTTCCTGTCCTAGTGCCATGGATCATTATGGTGGGTTTATTGGGATGGAAATCCACCCTAACTTGAGAAGTATCAGAAATGCAATCATGTGACATATATCCTTTTGTGTTTGGCCTTTTTGGTTGTCATAATGATCTTAAGGTCCATCTATGTGGTAACTTGTATCAGCACATCTTTTTTTTTTTTTTAATGACTGGGTAATATTCCATTTTATACTACATTGAAAACTTCCCATTCATTAGTTGAAGGACATCAGGATTTTCTCCTGCTTTGGGGCTATTGTGAAAAATACTGCTATAAACATTCTTTCTTGTTTTTGAAACAACGTGTCGCTTTGTATTCTATCCTGGCCTTGAATTCACTATGCAGCCCAGTATTCTGGGCTAAGATTCATAGCAACATTCCATTTTAGCTCCGTAAATACTGAGATTACAGATGCCTGCTACCTATCCAGATGAACCTTCTTGTTTGAATTTTTAAGTGAACACATTTTAATTACACTAGCTTTTCAAAATGCAAAAGAAGATTCATAGATGTTGAAACTATGGGCTTGTATTGACTGACTCAAGACAAACATTTTAGTGTGGGGGTCAATCTTTAATAGATATGGTTAAACCTCTCTTGGAAAACCAAAACTCTGTGATAGGTACACAGTGTGTACAAATGGGAGATACCACTGGAGGTTTTCAGTGTGGTCTACAAAATCCAAAGGAATCATAATATCTCTACTTGTTACCTGGGAATAATTATGCTGCCTAGGCATTTCTGACTTTGCCTCACCTTTCCAAGCTAAAGTCTCTGAAGGTGAAAATTAGTTTTAATATTTCCTGGTCTCTGATAGTGTACACCCTGAACAGGCCCGTGTGAGCTGAGTTAAAGAGATTTGTGAATCTTCTTAAAGGAGCACTGTGGTGTGAGCACAGTGTAGTCCTGGATCCATCCTTCGCTTGTGCATTTAGATCATTAATTAGGCGACTCACCAGAGGCAGAGACGAAGGGTGATCGGTCCGGAAACTGTTTTTGGCAGAAGATGGGTTGGGACTGTTACCGACACTTGAGTTCTGAAATCACAGGAAGAAAATGAAAACCCAGAGCAACTACAGACCTGAAGCAATACCAAAGAAAGACAGCACGGAATTCTGACGTTATACGCACCTCTAAGTGTCCGCACACAGATTTTAGCAGTTTGTATGTTGAATCTCTGGAGAGTAAGGAGACGAATATATACTGGAAAATAAAGTGGAATCAAGGGGTCAGAGTCCTGAAAATTACCTACCGTGTAGCTTTTGTGTTTTCTTATAAGGTTTTAAATTGCATTTAGTGTGTGAATGTGACACGTTTACGTGACATGGTGTCCCTGGGAAGATCAGAGGATAACTCTTCCCAAGATGTGGTTCTGAAGACTGAATTCAGGTCGTCATCAGACTTTGATGCACATAAATGCCTTTACTAGCTGAGCCATGTCTGTCACCCCTATCTTTTATACTGTTAAATGACAAAGACCATTACTTTAACTACAACCTCATTTTTTTTTTCCAGCTGAACATCCATTTTTTATTGTATTTCTTGAATAAGTACATTCCCCTATGGTGTCTTTTCTGTTTTTCCTTTTGAGGCAGGGTCTCACGTGGCCCAGGCTGAATGAAAACATCGCTATGCAGCCAAAGATGACCTTGAACTCTTGACAGTCTGCCAGGAGCCAAGGCCGGCCTCCACCCTTGAGTGCAGAGATTGTGGTGTGTACCTCCAGTTTGTTTGATGTTGGGGGTTGAATCCAGGGTTTCATTCTGCTAGGCAAGCACCCTGCCAGGTGAGCCGTAGCTCCAGCTCCTTGTGTCCCACTTACTATAGTAATGAACCCCCCATATTCAACGCAAGCATGATAAAAAAATGGAGCAAAATAATGAAGGCTCCAAAGGACAACATTGGTGCTCCTGAAAAGCAGAGATGGGATAGGAGGGTACTAAGGCAAGGCTGTTGATACAAGCTAGGACCTCGCCTCCCCTCTGCAGTATTTTGATTTTAAAGGTATCTGGTGATTCCTGGAGGCGGTGTGCTTTCTCTGCTCTGACCTAGACTTCTGCTGAAGATTCAGCAGCTCTAATAGGGTTGCTCTTTTTCACGTCACTTCCAGGTTCTTCCCTTGTACGGACATCTCCCTGCCTCCCTTAACTGGATGCCTGTGAGTTATGGGGGAAAAAAAAATCAAAGCTAGACAAATATTTTGGAAATAAATGACATATGGAAAGATTTTACTACTATGCAAACAATACATCTTCAAGATAAAAAAAAACTTTTTTTTTTTTTTTGCTTTATGCATGTGTGTGTCATGCTATCTTTTTAGACCTTCTTTCCCTGAGTTTGAATGATCCTTCCCATTTGCCACCAAGAGAATGAGGCAGGCTCTGAGTCAGCACCATTGCATGCCAGTGTAGTGGGCACCGTGGGCTCTGGAACTGGACACTTGTAGGTGCAAAAGCCACCTCTGATACTTACTAGGGGATAACAATGGGAAACTGCTTGAGCAGTCTTTCCCTATGGAGTGCAGACAAATACATTAGAAAACATGAAGGAAGCACTTGACGCACTCTTGGCAAAGAGTAAGTGCTTGACAGCTATTTGTATTTAAAAATAGAGGCATTTTAGTTTGTTTTCTAGTTTATCAGAATATCTATCGTCTATCCTGTATGTATCTACGTGTGTGTGTGTGTGTGTGTGTGTGTATGTATGTATGTATCTATCAATTATCTATCTATCTGTCTGTCTATACCTATCATCTGCCCATCCTCAAACTAATGACTTTCCCGAGCTAGCTCCCAAGTACAGACATCTCGGTTGTGCACACTTGGCCACAGTAGCTGCTATTTTTTTCTTCTCAGCTGTACTCAGTTATCTATCATGGTTAGAAGTTTAAGGTCGCTTTTTTGCTTTTACAAAGAGGAGTAGGTGAAACAAATGTCTAAATGGAAATGTTTCTGGCTGTGCCTGCTCAGGGTAGCCCAGTTCAGGAGTTACTCCAGAACCTTGGTACAGAAGAGAGGCCGTGTGTGTGTGTGTGTGTGTGTGTGTGTGTGTGTGTGTAACCTGTGGGACTTCGGGTCAAGCTCAAGCTGTCAGGCTCGCTCAGTCCCTCTATTTGTTGAGCCACCTCACCAGCTCAGGCTTATCTCTCTCTATTTAGGTTTCCTTTGAGATGAGGCATCTCTGTAGTCCTAGATATCTTGGAACTCACTATTTAGGCCAGGCTGGTCTTGAACTCACAGAGATCCATTTGCCTTTGCCTCCCAAGTGCTGGGATTAAAGGCATGTGCTACCACCACCTGGCTTTATCTATTATCTATTATTATTATTACTGCATGCATGTATACGTGTGTATGTGTGGACACAGGAGTGCTACAGTGCACGAATATAGAGGTCAAAGAACAATGTTTGGGAGTCAGCTCTCTTTTTCCACTGTGGCATCACCACTACCTGTTATAGGCTGCCACAGTTAGCCCTCTCGTCCACTGAGCCATCCTGTCAGGTTCGCAGGATCATAAATTTTGGTGTCAACCGGATGGTGAATAAAGCATTTTTAGCACACAGTAGATCCCATGCATTTGGCATGCTTCTCAGAGTTGTCCTACATACAATGCATGCTTACTTAATGTTCTTTGCCTTCTGGGCTGATCTTGTAAATTTGCTCTTGAAATGCCTTAAATGATAACGACAACAACAGCAGCAGCAACCAAACCTCCAAAGAACTAGAGCAAGAGCAAAGGCAAAGCAAAGGCGGTCCTGTGCTGCTGTACTCACCCTGTCTGTGACTGTCGCTATGATCAGGGCGTTTGGCACCAGAAGGGCGGTTTTGGTTTTCTTGATCAGGGTCACTGAGAAAGCTGGGATGGAGATCTGAAACAGAACCGTCAAGTCAACATCAGCTCTGACTCTGCACACAGTACTTGAGATCTGCACCTGGCTAAGGGTACCTCGGGCGGTTAGGTTCTCCAGGCTGCGTGAAGAGCAGTCAATCTGGGGGTGAGGGGAACGTAGCACTGAGCTCTTCAGGCCGGGGTTTCCAAAGCCACAGGACACAGCTGCGGCTGAGCACATGTGGGTGGGGAAAACATGCCGGACAGAAAGTCTTCAGCCTGAATTCAGCCCTGTTACTATTTACATGACCTTCTTAGCCTCACGCACACGGTGAGACGAGACAGGGCGTGATATACGTGTGTTAATTTTATCAGCCTCTGAAAGTGCCCCTGGAGGAAGGCCCTGGCTGAAGGAAGGCAAAACCAGTAACGTTTTCAGGGTAGGCGTTTAGAAAGGTCCCTCTGCCAACAAGCTGGAAGGCTTTAGTGTACGGTACATCATGCCAGACTGAGGTCTGTTGACCCAAGAGGGAATTCTGCAAGATTTCTGAAAAGCCTGGATTTCTTTTGACACCATTTTTGGGGAGAAACAGACAAACCACAATCAGTGGCTCTCATTTTGTCCCCTGCTAATTTGAAGTCTCCTCTCTCTGAAGGTTAGATGTAGCTCATACAAAAGAAACCCAAGTGTGTTCATGTATTAAAAAAAAAATAACAGGAATGAACAAACAAAAAGAGGGGCACTCCTATTTTAGCTTCTTTTTGTCACTGAATCAGAAGCAAAAATTTCAAACCACTGCTAAATCACATTAGCTTGAAACTTGTTCACTGCCTTTGTGAACTCACACGTTATTAAAAAAAGGACAAGCCATTGTTCAGAATGTCTTCAGTCCCTGCTTAGAGACAAGGACCAGCTTTGGACTCGGAACCCAGTTGATCCCACCGAGAAGCAGATCTGATACCCTCCGGAAGCCATGACCAACTTCTTATAATCCTGAGATCCAGAGTTAGGGTGGAATACTAGTGTGCATTGTATTAATTCAGAGAACGCCTCGGCTCAAAACAAGTCTCTCTAAAAATAATGTATAATAAGCATATATAAAAAGCCACATGAAGTGTGCTGCCCTCCAGAGCTAACTTCAGCACGTCAGAGAACACCCATTTTATTTGTTGGAATCGTCCTTACAGGATTACCAGTGGCTTTAGGGAGAATGTTTAGATAGAGTGTATTTGTTTCAAAGAGTTCATAACCGGCTTCACGGGCATAAAAACGGCTTACTCATACCTCGAGGTGGTTTCTGAAAACTCACTGAGTTCGTGCAAAGCACGAAGGTGCTTCTCTGGCCTCTGGCCACCTGAATGAATGGCTGTGAAATCATAGTTCACAGGCAAGGAGAAAGCGGTGCCTCAGGAAACTGCCACTTCCTCTGTCCCTGAGGCTATTCTCAAGCTCTGGGTGTCCCCCTTATCTTGGCTCAGATCTGTGTTTAATAGAGAACCACAGGCAGCCACACCAGAGCATATTCGAGGTCGTGAGGGTCTGACTTCTGCAGACAAAGCCTTGCAAAGACACTCACTAACAAACGCGTTGCTATGAATACAGCAAAAATAGTTTTTTTTGTTTTTTTTTTAAGTGGCTGCTATTTGAGGCAGCATCATGTGTAGTAGGTGGGCTAGCCTGGAACTCACTTATAGCCCAGCCTGATATCCCTCGTGGCATCCCTCTTGCTAGGACTATAAGGCTGAGCCACCACACCCAGATATGTGTTTTGAGTTTTGGTTGTGAGCCTAGCCTTTAACAGCTGAGCCATCTCTCCAGCCTGTGTTTTGGTTTTTAAAAAATACTTTTGAAGCAGACTAGGGCATACTTTCCAGAAACACACAGGAACAACATTGGTGTCTCTGATGACCTGGGGAGAAGGGTGGGAAAAGCACAGAGTGATGTGTGTAACTAAAGGAGTGAGGAAGTGGTGCTCCAGGGAGGAGGGAGTTGGGACAGCTGAGTTTGGAAGCACAACAAAGGAAACGCTCTGTAAAAGTCAGACTCATGGAAATATTTATAAATATAGTTAAATTTAAAGTAATTTCTATTTACAGTATGTAAGGACTACCACATTAACCTTTTGTTCTAAACACACCAACCTTAGTGTCTTTTCCAAAGACTTTGGAATGAAAACAAATCCAGTTTTCTGACACAAAGAGCTTCCCCTGGTACAGGATTTCTTTCTGGAGAGCACAAGTAAAGCCTGAGAGACAGACACGTAGAATAGCACCATTTAGTATCTCACCAAACTACTATTCTTTCTGTGATTTCTATTTCAAATAAAAATCTGTTTTTCATTTGGTCACTGAATATACACTAACACCCCAAAGTTCCATTGCTGGTGACTAAGAGAGGCAAGCCTCTTCAGGGCCAACGCCGACATTTAATACAACTACAAAATGTCTTGTGTTGTGTTGGTTTTGTTTGTTTTTCACCTGAGACTTTCTGAAGGAAGCTCAGCATGGCCAGACATGTTCCTGTCCACCATCTTCGTGACACTAACTGAGCATGCCCCAAAATAGTCAGCTCTGCCACTTTACCTGCAAGTGTGTGCTCGGTGAGTTTGGGTTAGCCCAGAAGTGTGTCTGCCATCTTTCCTCCTTGAAGTGTATCCTTATTATAGCATGCTCAGAAAGGCACGCCTACCTCCAAAGTGATTTTCTATTAGTATAGTTTCCAGGAATAAACCCCTCAGGCTTCTTTTCCTTTCCTTTGAGGAGGGTATTGCTTTGGAAATAACTCCTAGGCTTTTTATTCACTAGAGGAAATAAATGTTCTCCATTTAAAACAATTTATTGCCTGTACATGTTTTTGCACTTACAGAAATATGTGAATGTACTACACTTGGTTGCACTACCACTTTTTGATCATTTAATTTTATTTCATTTCTCATTCTTTTTAGATAAGGTATTGTTGTGCAGCCCAGGCTAGCCTGAAATTCAATATATAGTCCTGGATGGCCTCAAACTTGAGATCCTCTGGCTCTAGTCTCAAGAGTGCTGGGATATAGACACACACCATGTCCAGCTCTGGAGTCACCTTTAGCAGAATAAAGTTGTAGTGACTAGAATGTGTTTTCAATCCAAAGTCTTAGATTAAGAGTAGAGATGGGAGGAGGGCAAGTCTACCAGTGCCCTCTAGGAACCGGGAATGATGTTTTAGGAGCTAGCTGCAACAGCGCATCACCTGCATGCTGATATAAGCACTCCTGGCCCTCTCTTTTTCAGGATCTGAATGACTTACTGATGAACTAGATGGTCCCACTGTGGGAAGGGCACATGACCACACCTTCTGCCAGGGGATCATGGGGGGGGGAGCCCAAGCTCTTGATTTAACAAGTGTACACCAAGAGAGCCTAGAGTTGAACCGTGGGTCCCGTGTTGAGCCACATGCTGAGCTGTCATGCTGGGGAGCTGCTTGGGTGTGGCCACTACGCTTTGCATAGCACAGGCATTAATACTTCTGTACAATAGGAACCATGCTTTCTTCTAGCCTCTTGTGGCAGCCTTTCCTGCCCCAGGCTGATTATCCCAAATCTCAGGATGACTCACTCACAAACATTTCGTAATAGAAATGGCAAGGAGACCATGGTGGAAGCTTCCTGGATGACTGTGTATCACGAGAGCTGGCTGTTCCTTCTGTTTTATGTTCCAAGGTCTTAGTGAAGGGTGAGTTCAGCTGGTGTTACCGTCATGACCTGACCTATACCTTTTGGAAACCTTTTGCTTGGTGACCGAATCCTTGAAATGTGCTTTCCTTCTTCCTCCACTACTTAGACAATTAAAAAAAAGTTTTGTTTTTTTTTTTAATATTATGTAACTTAAATGAGCAATCAAACAGGTGGCACTTACTTTGCCTCAGTGGCTCTTCAGTTGGGACATCAAGGAATAACTTATGAAAGTGCATGTTCGCTTTGTACTGCGGGGAGACAAGACACAGGCATTGACACCAACACTGTTATTATTTTTTCGACCATCACACATTTTAACCCCAGTTAAACTGATTAACTTTCCAATTCAACCCTTCCGTGACACACAGGGTCACATCGGTTCATGTTCCAACATAATTAACACCTTGCTCAGTGGCCAGCTAGGTATCAGAACAGGGCAAAGGCACTGCTGATAAGGCAGGAGACGACATTCTTAGTACTCACACCAGGGAAGGTGCTATCGACACACACACCTAAGGACCCTGGGAAAAGTTCAGGGCTTAGACGCTTTGCACTCACATAGCCCTGAACTTGAGGTGTTCGTCTGTACTTTTGCCTTGGGGTGTGGTCATGCCCTCATGATTTAGCTTCCCTGGGCCTCAGTTTCTTTTTTTCCTTGCCTGATAACGAAAGAATGTCCCTGTCTTACTTGGCGGAATGCCTACAGGCTTACACGGAGGTAACATACTGGGAGCGCCCACCCTCAGGACAACATGTGTCCACTGTTGCCATGTGGCCATGAAAGCACATGAAGTCAGTGGCAGATGAGCAGGACATAACACTTCAGGGCAGTACAAGGCCCATGAATCTAAAACACCATAGCAGCTTCATTGCAAACTGCATCCATCACCACCACTGTGGAGATAATGGACAGCCAGCAGCTGAGAGCTAGTGACATGCTCACCACAAGCATCATCTGCACCCCAGCCCCGAGTAGGTGGTACCCTATTTGACGGATACCTCACGTCAGGGATACTGAGGAAGAGGGCCACACGGTGGTCTGAGAGACAGATCTAGGTCTTTTAGGGACACATGGCTCTATAACTAGAATGCTTCTGAGAAAACATGTGATAAGACAGTGGTTCTCAACCTTCCCAACACCACAGCCCTTTAACACAGTTCCTCATGTTGTGGTGATCCTCCCCTAACCATACAGTTACTTTTGTTGCTACTTCATAACTGTAATCTGGCTGCTACCGTTAGGAACTGTAATGTAAATACCTGATATGCAGGATATGTTACCCTAGTAAAAGGGTCACTCGAACACCTCTCCCCCAAGGGGGGGTCATGACCCACAGGTTGAGAACCGCTGTCTTAAGAACTCTGGAAAGCAGGCCTTTGATGTGCTGTCTGAACCAGCAGAGAGCTCTGTACAGCAAAACCAGCCCTTCTACTGGTATAAGGAAAATCTACAGATCAGGTCATCAAGAGGGCAGATGGCCCCCGATAAGTCAGCTGCTTAACAGATGAACACTTATGTAAAGCACATGAACGAGGGCTGGCCCCCACGTGTGCCTTTGGCATCGGAGTTCTGGAATTTCTTCCTGTGATGATTCCTGCTGTGGTTCTCCATCCTAGGAGACTTGAATTTGCTTGTCTTCAAGCCTGCATCAGGTGATGAGAGCTGTGGGTCCTGTGAGGGGTGGGGGTGGCGGTGGGGGTGGGGGTGGGGCTTCCCAGAGTTTTTCTCTTCAGTGGTTACAGATAGCATTGAGAGAATACTAGGATAGCTGGGCATGGCGTTACACACCGGTAACGCTCGCTATCAGGAAACCTGAGAAGGGAGGACCTCATGTTCAAGGCCAGCCTGGGCCATAGTACGGAAGCCACGGAGAGAGAGAGGCTATATGTAGCAAATAAATATAACGTGTGAATTGACTGGCCCTTTATGGAGGAGTGCAAAAAAACAACCTTTGTAAAAGACACACCTTGTTAGTTCAGCTGTGGAAATTAAAAGTTCTTAAATTTCATGCCTGTGCCAACTATTTTATGTAGTTCTTAGAAGGCACATAATCATGTATGTAGGGAGCTGTGTGCAAATCGCAGGAAACTGGGGTCAGGCGTTTTGGTCAGTTGCAGAGTGTGTCCTTGGCACAAAGGAGGACCTGGGTTCAACTCATAGCACCAAGGCCCCAAATAAACCCAAACTCCCCCAAGCTGGGGGAGTAAAGGTGTTGCCTGGCTCAGAAGTGGATCCTGTTGCTGCCTTGAGTGTATTTAGCACAGAGCTGGGATGACTTCTGATGAGGCGGAATCACTGTGTGCATTGGTCTTGCTTCTCTGTGTGGTGGGTACCCAGTGACACTGTATTATAACGTACGGATGCCGCCCTCCCCCTGTTCTGTGAGACAGCAGACAAGCACAGGACTGTCAGCCTCAGTTCCACAGCCATGCCCTCTGTCTCTCCATGGGTGCCGGTGGGTCAGCTGTGGAATCTGAAAGGCTGGAGGAACAGCACCATTTGTCCTTCCACATTTTCTTTCTTTCTTTCTTTCTTTCTTTCTTTCTTTCTTTCTTTCTTTCTTTCTTTCTCTCTCTCCTTCCTTCCTTCCTTCCTTCCTTCCTTCCTTCCTTCCTTCCTTCCTTCCTTCCTTCCTTCCTTCCTCCTCCTCTTTCTTTGACAGGGTTTCTCTGTATAACCCTGGCTGTCCTAAAACTCACTCTGTAGATCAGGGTGTCCTTGAACTCAGAGATCCACCTGCCACTGCCTCCTGAGTGCTGGGATTAAAGGTGTGTACCGCCACCACCTGGCCCTTCTACATTTTCTAAACCCTGGGCCTACTTTGGCCCTGGCTAGCAGACGGGCTGTATTTCTGGATTCTTTCTATCAGCTCCAATGGAGTCACCCTCAGAGCCAGTGCACACTGCAGTCCCTTATTACCTGGCTGGAAGATGAAGACTTTTTTCTTTCAGTCTTAGGGTCAGTCTTGCTTTCAGCTTTACACTCATTCTTATCACTCAACAAATTGGAACCATCAAAACTGGATTTTGACCTGGGGAAATAAAACCCACAGTGATTATACAAGGAACTGTTTATGCCACTCATTATAAGTCCTCCCTATTATACCATGTCACCAGAAAGCCTGGCATTTGTTTTTCTCTTCTAGATATTGATCAGTGTTCACTACACTCTGAGTTCACTACACATCATATGATCAGGATGATCTCAGCGGACTGCCATGATGAACTGCAAGAAAGGGCATTTGAGATGGGAGAGTATATATCAGTTCAAATGTGTTTTACTCACTACAAAGAAGAGTGCTTGAGACCCATTACCAAATAAAATTAGAGCTGTCGCTTAATCAAAGAGTATTTTTGTTTCACAGTCCATTAATATTTAATAAGAACTAAGCGAGGCATTGTGCTAAAGTCTTTATGCTTGGGAACCTTGTGGGTACACGCATCAAACATGTCTTTTCCTTTCCTTTTGTTAAAAGCAGTGCGTGCTGGACGTGGGAGTGCATGTCTGTAATCCTAGCACACGGAAGGCTAAGGCAAGGGGCCTTGTGCAAGGTGTCCAACAGTTTTGTTTCACATTGACCTTCGGGTGCTGCTCTCAGCACCTACAGGAAGCAGGAAGCGAGAACAGCACATTGAGAAGGCTCAGAAAGCAATAGTGTGTAAGGAAGGGCTCCACCCACAGTGGGCGTGGCTCCACCCACAGAGGGTGGGGTTCCACAGAGGAGCCTCTGTGCTGTAGTGCCTTTCAGACCATCAAAGGCAGCATTGTTCTACCTGTCCCATTTGCCCACAGACTCCATTTCTTCAGAAGATCTGCTCATTTTTATAATTTGGTTGACAGGAAGAAATGCATTGGAGGCCACCCTGGGCTACAAACCTTGAAAAACACGAGTGGGGTTTGGGAAGATGGCTTAGTAGGTAATGAGTGGGTGCTACTCAAGAATGAGGACCTAATCGTGGGTCCCTGGGGCCCATGTACAAAGCCAAGCATGTCTGTTGTGTCTGTACCCTCAGCACTGGGCTGGGTAGAGACTGGGCATTGCTGGGGTTTGCTGCCATCAGGCTAGCTGAAAATGGTGAGCTCCATGCTCAGTGAGAGACTCTGCTTCAAGGGAATAAGCTAGAGAGAGAACAGGATACCTGTAGTACCTCTCAGGTCTCCCCACATGCACATAGGCTCACACCCCCTCCCCTGAAATGTGCACAAAGGCATACCACACACACACACACACACACACACACACACACACACACGCACATGGACCGAGACAGAGATAGACACAGAGAGATAGTATATGATTTAACTGTTATATATCACAGAAGTTAGATGGGTTAGAGATGGCAGCAGAAGACTAAAGAAAAAGAAAGTGACAGACAATGTGGATTTGATTATTTATTTGTTTATTTTATCACTGCAATGCTGGAGATCTAGGCCAGGGAGTTCAGCAGGCACTGGCAAAGAGAACTCCACCCTCAGCATGACTCCAATGTTCAGGGCCTTACAGAACCAATAGGAAGAAATGGGCATGAGGGGAAAAGAGACAGAGCATCCAGCCTCAGAAGACAGTAAAAATCAATTCTGACAAAATAAGAAAAAGAAATAAAAATGAATGTCTTAAATTCCAAGTCTTCCCTTGCCTGTTAAAGGCAGAGGCTAGAATTCTGGAATTTTGGTTGCAGGTGATTTTTAGTCTGTCTCTCCATTTTAGCAGATGTGTGAGTCAGTACATGTCTTCAACCCTATGCAGCTGAGAAGAGCATGTATGCGTTCTAGAGTTGACTCAAGAATGTGTTTTCTAATCTAATCACGTAGTTACTTTATTGCGAGTGGCTGGAAACAGTAGAGAGACTGACCATGATTTCACACTATTTCTTAAACTGAAACTATTTGGTTCAAAGTAGGTCTAAGAGTTATCTGAAGGAACTCCAGTGCCATAGTGGGACGGGCATGGTAGAAGCGAGGGAGACAGTGGATGCTGGTTTTCTCTGCTGTGAGAACAAGTTATGATGTCTCAGGCTTCTCCAGTAGCTTATGATCCATAACACTGAACTCTCAGGAAAGGCAGCTCTCAGTAACTCACAGCAATGGACTTGACCATCTCTGGGCTAGCTAATACAGACTCTGGGAATTCTGGAGATTATTATTTTTTGAAACTATGCGTTTACCTGAAAAGATAACTGTTTTTACAAATGTTAAAAATAATAATGGCATTTAGATAGGTATGATGGTGGCCAATTGCAATCTTAGTATTTTGGGAGACTAAGGCAGGAAGATCATGATTTAAGCCCGTCCTGGGGAATACAGTGAGTTTGGGGCAAGCCTTAGCTACACAGAGCCTCAAATACAAACAATAACAACAAAACCATGCTGGGTGTGGTAGCATACGCCTTTAACTCCAGCACTTGGGAGGCAGAGACAAACGGATCGGCTAGCCTGGTCTACATTGTAAGACCCTGTCTCAAAACAAACAGATACCAAGAAAACAAAATGACGACAACAATAAACAAAACCCCCAAGCAAACAATACAAGGATAGAATGTATCACTTCGGTCCGTGTTAATGGAATTAAAGGCAGCAGAGAGATGTTTTGAAGGAGTCTGCATGTTAGGCAAATGCAGAAAGAAGGGCAGTTTTCACGATGAGTGGCTTAGGGTTGCTCTGTGGAGCAAACGGGAACCTTCTTTGCATAGTACTGGTTTCACTGCATCTTCCCAGCCACGCTAGTCTCACTTCCTACAGCTGCCCCCAAACAAGACCAAAGCCCAGTGCAAAACGAAAGTGCACAGAAACAGTTACGAATTTCCAGGCAGCATGAACAAAACATCAGAGTCGGGCCCTCTGCACCATCACAGACAGCATACCCCGAGGTTTCCCACTGCACACGCAGTTCTCATTTGAAGCCCGGGGGAAGTCAGAATGAACCCGAGTATTTGCAAGAGACTACCTAATCAGTCACCGTGAAGGGCTCTTGTAGGGGGGTGTCATTTGGTGAGCGGGGCAGGATGCTCTGCTGAGAAACAGCTAGAGAAAAAAAAATGGTGAAAGACGAAACACCACAAACCCTCCGCGCAGGGAAGACGAAGCTAGTTTGGCAGTAGTACCTGAAAAAGGAAACCGGAGGACTCAGGCATCAGTTTAGAAAGGAGATACAGGTAGGAAAGCCAGGGATGAAGGGGAATGTAGGACTTGGTTGTCTCCTAGCAGAGGTCAAAAGTAGGAGAAGGCAACAGTTCTAACAGTGTTCTAGAGATGGGGAGGAAGAGTATCACCCTTAGTTCGGAGTTCTAAACCCCACATTTAGGACTGAGGATGTAGCTCAGTGGTAGAACAGTTAGTTGCCTAGCATGTGATCTGCCCCAGGTTTGATACCCAGTACCAAATAAAAAATAAAAAATAAAACAAACAAACAAACAAAAAACCAAAACCAAACCAAAACAAACCTCTTCGCACATTCTCACATTTATTCCTCTGGCTGCAAGCATCTCTAAGCTCTACCTGGGTAGTTTTTGCCTCCAGAGTGATGGAGCCTATCTATTAAAAAGCTACATTTCACAGTCAAACCAGGTGTCCTCCAGAGCCCCAGTCACAGGACATGTGTAGCACAGCAGATCGCTGGGATGTGGTCTCCTCTGTTCTCTCCTGGGCTCCCAGGAAAGTGAGGGACAGGTGTGTAGCTATCTGGAGGCCAGCAGACAATGGGAGCACCGACACTGGACCAGCTGGCTTCCTCAGCCGGGAAATGAATGCTCCAGAAAGAGGCGGGCCTTCTACAGAGGCTGGGAGGCAGGAGCAAAAGTTCCTGCTGGGAAGTCATGAGGGTACCTGGGCAAAGACCAGGGTCAGGGTATTGAGGAAGAGCGTGCCATGCTTTCTTAGGGAATGATTTGCCTACAAGTTGAGCCGCACTCTTAAAGACAACCATAAAACTAAAAACACCAGTGCTCCCTAAAAGCCCGAGAACAAAGAGAGCCCACTGAGGACTCACCACAGGCCAATGCTTCTCTTCTGGTCCGGGGACTCGGCCTCCAAAGATGAGGTAGGGGATTGGGCTGTTGACGACTTGCTGCTCCTCTTTCTGTCCTCCACACCATTCTCAGCCTCTGAGCTGGAGAAGAGAGAAAAACGCTTCACTTTAAACATCCAGTGGGAGGCAGAAGGAGAAATGATGAAGTGGTCTCGAGTTCTGGAGAGAGGAATACTCTTCATGCTTCTCCGGTGGCCTTGTCAACTCTGACAGCTGTGGTCCTTCCCGGGCTCCATTCTAAAGCCTCACTGTGGGAGCCCTTATTGGCAGGAGTTGCAGGTGACACCTGCTTGCCTAGTAAATGTGTGACCACTCAGGATTGCTCAGCTTCTGGTTTGTGCCCCTGGGCCCCAGCTGCTCAGCTCTGCCCAGCCTGGGCGTGTGCTGTAGGGCAGATCACCTGGAGGCTGGGTGAGCCCCTGTGCGCATGCGCATAGCATAGCTCCTAAGTATGGGTGGCCTCCTGCAGGTGCTGGGAACCCGCACCCTCTTTGTTTGCACTTCTCTAATGTCACTTATCACCCTTTGTTGTAGTTATGACTGTCCCACTTTGGGTTGTTGTTTTAACTATGCGCTTCCCTAAGCAATTTAGACTCTAATCTTTATAGCCACCCAGGCTAAGTAGGAATTACTACCTTCCTGTTATAGGTAGGAAATCTAAGACTTTCGGACAGACTTTTGCCCACAGAGCTCAGAAAGGTACTTTCTGAAAGGTTCCCTCCCTAAGGTACTTGTATACACATCCTTTTTCTAATTTATTCCTTCCTTCCTTTCCTTTCTCCCACCCCAACTCACACATTCATTCACTTTATTCATTGTGGAAGTTCCAAGGTGGGGCTGGAACCTTTACATTAACTCATTCAGTAGTGTCTAGGACAGCAGTGGGCTATGATCAGTAGGCAACAGAAAAACTAGGTCTGACCTCGGTAAAAAAGAGACAGAGAGAGAGTAGAGAGGGTTTGTTCAGATGGGCCGTGGTGGTCTACAAAGAGAGTCCCAGAGGCAGGCCAGAGTTCAAGGCCGGCCTGGTCTACAAAGAGAGTCGAGGACAGCCAAGGCTACACAGAGAAACCCTGTCTCAAAAAACCAACCAACCAACCAACAAGAGGGTTTGATCACTGCACCACCAACAAATGCGTGACTGCCAGAGTGGTGGAGGAAGCAGGCACCCCAGTCGGTAGAAGAATGCTTTGGGATGATTTTCAATGTGGGAAGTGGAGAGAGGGAAACTGAAGGAGAACAACCGTGGTACTCATGGTCCTGACCATCTTTGATCTAAGCTCGTGCAGTAAGAACTCAGGAGACGTACTTCTGAGGTTGTGAACACTGACGTATGACGCTGATCACACGTCAGATGCAATGCGATGGCATTGCTGTGCTGCATTAGCTGGTTTGAATCCTAATTCATCACCTCTTCGGTATTTCCATTTGGCTGGGAGCAGGTTAACATGCAGGTGGCTCCCGGTGTACGCTCATTAACCAAGACCGAGTAGAGACAAGCAGAACCAATTCATAATTCCAGAAATGGCTGGCGCTCTCATTTTGTAGTTCCTACTTCTCTTTTTCCAAGAACATAAATACCGAAGGAAAGAGACCCAGCCCTCTCCTCTAGCTTTTCTCCAGGTCCACTGAAAGGGCTTAGTTCCCACTGCACTACATCACATGACAAAAGGCGCGTGAGAGGCCTTTGAACTATGACGGAGCCGGGTGTGGAGGAGCACACCTTTGATCCCAGCACTTGGGAAGCAGTGTATTTCTGAGTTTGAGGCCAACAGCCTGGTCTAAAGAGTTTTTAAAAAATGCTTTTCTTGAAAATAATAAAATAATAATAGTAATAACAATAATAATAGTAATAATAACTTAATTAACCTCAGCATCAGCTTAATCTGTTTTACACTGTTACAGCTTTAGACTGTTAATAGGCTCTGAGGCCATCTTGCTAATTCTCTCTATTCACATATTTTCTATATATGAGTGCTCTATCTTTAAGCAAATCAGAAGAGAAATTGAGATCCTATTATAGATGTTTGCAAGCCACCATATGAATCCTGGGAATCGAACTCAGGACCTCTGGAAGAGCACTCAAGGGCTCTTAACCCCTGAGCCATCTCTTCAGCTTCCTGTCCACTCTCCCTAACCCCTAAGATATACACATTACATCCCCTCCCCCTTTTCAAGCTCATCAGGAAGAAAGCTTCTGGGGAACCCTCCTTCCAGAAGGGAGACTGATCGTGTGGGAGATGACTTCATTTAACCACTCACTTAAATACTTCCTAACTCTTACACAGGGTCAGAGTGCCTCCTAGAGGCACTATAGTTTAGAAAGAGCTGCTCCCAGCCAGGTATGGTAGCTCACAGGGTTGATCCCAGCACTCAGGGAGATGCAAGCTGGAGGCTGGATAACTTTGAGTTCGTGGCCAACCTGGTCTACAAAGCAAGTCCAGGACAGCCAAGGCTATACAGAGAAACCCTGTCTTGAAAAAAATGAGAGGGGAAGAGAGAGAGAGAGAGAGAGAGAGAGAGAAAGTGAGAGCTGCTCTCCTCAAGAGCCACTCAGAAGGAAGCAGCTCTCCTGATACCTGACTTGGCTCGGAAGAGATAGATGTACCTTGCTCTGAACACAGATGGCCTAGCAAGAAGCTGTAGAGGAGCCAAACAGAGACGAATTTCAGGCCCTCCTGGACCTGACTCTTACTTGGGCAGGCGCTTTGGTGCAGGGCAGGATTCTGAGGGGTTCATTTCACACGGTGGTTCTGTTTCTGGGACTTTAGCTTAGCACCGGCGTCTCCAGCACACATCTCTAAACATCCTATCCAAATAGTGACTTTCGATGCAAAACACACTTCATTTTCCTCTGAACATGTGCCGGTCGTCATCCTGCTTCTCTGCTTGACAGCCCTACTGGGGACCCACTGGGTTCAAAGCCTTCCTTCCTAACCTGGTCTTCTTCATGTACCCATTGGTTTCTTCCTTTCTTTTTTAAAAGGATTAAAAAATTTTTTTTTTCAATTATATGAGTGTCTGTGTGTGGTGTGGGTATGTGTATGCAAGTTCAGGTGCCCTCAGAGGCCACAGGCATTGGATTCTCGGGAGCTGCAGTTACTCTGGGCCGTCTCTTTAGGCCCTCCAGCTGGTTTCTTGAGGCGCCCACTCATTGCCTTGCTCTAATCACCTTCCCTCCCAGTGCCTTCCTTACTGAGTTACTACTCAATTCCTGGAAACTCAGGCACTTTCAGTTTTGGTCCACAGCACTCAGCTTAGCCTTTTATTCTGCCGGTCGTCTGTAAATGGATGGATGTGGGGATTAATCCTGCATTGTCTCAAAGAGGAAGTGAATTCCATCCATGGGGCAATTCAGTTTCAGGGTGTTGTTTATTTAAAGGCACTGTGGGTTTAAGGCAGTAAATTCCCAACAACGGTCCCTCACCTTGGAGGGCTTGTCAGCGGAAGAGTTAAAACCCGGGGGGGGGGGGATCCAAACAGCCAAGGCCCACCTTGCTGTGTTTGGGGGAGCAGTGTGTGGGAGGACACTTCCCTAAGGTGCTCAGGAACTGGGGGGAATTACTGAAAACGAGGCTAAGCGGGTTTAACTTGATCATGAACATTAAATCACGGTTTGTTCTTCTTTCTAAAGGAGGAGACAAAACCTTTTCGTGGACAAAGACTTAAAGAATCATTTGGGAAACCCAGTCATTCTCTTTCAACAAGTATTTCTTGGAAAGGTCTCTAGGAGACGGGGCTCAGAGTTTCCTGAGAGAGGTCAGGCTATGGACTGATCTGAGCACCAGAGAAGGAGCAGAAGCTGCCAAAAACACAGCCTCAGCAGGGTTATGTCTTCTCCCATTTCCAACCCAGACTGAGTATCAGTTCGAGGCCCTCAAAGACTTTTAGTATGAATTTCAGATTTATAGATTATATAAACAAGCCACCCCCCCGTCTGTTAACAGACTGCATTTTACCACTAGGTAGGACAAGCTGGCTTTAACACAACTTTGTCACACACTGTTATACAACCCACAAGTGAAAACAGGCTGGACCACCTTTATCAGCAGGTTGATGTTCACCATTTCCCAGACTTCAGATCTCACAATTTTTCAGATTTAGATTTCTTAGTTAGAGGCTAGGAACATTTCTTCTGGTGCTTGTTCCTGGGAGTTTAAAGGACATTCAATATTCCTTTCTTTCGTGAAGCCCATCGCCGCTGGACAGAAGAAGCTATAATTAAACTGCTGCTCAGGGGAATGAAATCAAGTACCTTGCTGGGGTACTTAGTCCCGGAAGCTGTGATCCTTTCTAATTATAGTGACAATTCCGTGTTAAATTAGCCAGAGTGAAGGCATTAAAATAATACTAAACTTTCCTGTGCTAGTGAAGGTTGGGATAATTTTCCAGCTACCTTCTTTTTCAAACCATAGACTTTTACCATCAAAGAGGGTCTACGAAGGATGTTTTTGTAGCGGTCAAAGCCAGGCCTGGAACAGCCCTGTTGCTGAAGACTGACCGGCTGGTCAGGGGTCCTCACTGACCCTTGTTGGTCTGGTGTGCTGCCTGCCAGCTTGATGGCTCCAGAAAAGGCGGGCAAAGCCGCAATATCTGGGGAGCAGATTTATCCTCTAGTGATGGAGAAGGAGTCTGGGAATTGCTGGGTGACACCCTCTGTAAAAATACAGACAGCCATTCTAGCTACCCAAAGGAGGAAGCAGCGTGGGTGTGATAGTCCAGGCCAAGGGGGAGATGCTCCGAAGAGTATCTTTTTATGGCTGTCAGGATATTGGAAAGGCCGTCCATAGGGACTTGGAATTTTCCCAGGAATCTCACGCTGGAAGAAGGAAAAGGCTGGAATCCAGCCCAGTCAGAGGAAGTACTTGTCTCCTAGAAAGAGCTCCCCCACAGTTCCAACATCACTGAGGCTTGCAAGAGAGACTGGAGCTGAGACAATGGTGGGTGGGATCACACCTTGGCCAATACTTCTAAGCTATGCATACCTCTCGCCTTCTATTTAAGCCTAGACCTCCTATCAGGACCTCGAAGATGGACTGGAGTCTGGCTGGGGCTGGGTGTTTACCAGACCTCCTTATTTG